TCAAGAGCATAGACGAATGTGGTAAGATAATTAGGAAGGGATAAGTGTTGAATATACATTACCTGTGTTTGTAATATAATTTATCTAATCCTATGTTTTCCTTATTTGAGTTTTAATAGTAGTTGTACCTAACAACCAGCTCATAAAATTCCCAAAGTTTTAACCATCAGTTATCACAGTCCAGTACAAGTTGGCCTCAGCACACCACTACTCCTGTTAAACACACACTGAGGGTTAGTAGAGAGCTCTGAGGCACTCAGTCAGAAACCCAGGGTGAAGAGGTTCTACTACCTTCTAGAGCTGCATAAGCCATTCCCTGTACCTGGCATGCTCTCATCCTGTCTTGGAGTTCTCAGCTCGAAAATCTCTTCCTCAGAAAGACCTTCCTTGATTTCCCAATCTAAATTAGCTCCTCCTTAGTACTTTCTCATAGGAACCCACAGTACTGGCTACAAGTTCATTAAGAGTCTGTATGCACATGTTCAATGTCCATCTTCCCTACTAGACTGGCAATTCACGAAAGCAATACGTTTAATTTGTTCAGTATGTGTAATTTGTTCAGTATGATATATTCTGTACCTATGTAGTGCCTGACACACAATAAGTCCTCTTGGAGAGAGGAAGGAAGGAAGAGAGAGAACAAAAGAGAGAAAAGGAGAGAAAGAAGGGAAGGAGGAAGGAAAGAAGGAAGAGAGGAAGGAAGGAAGGATAGAAGGGAGGGAAAAAGTTAGTCAAGCTAGCATGTTTTCATTTTAACACATTTTGTCACTGACAAGCCATGTGACCTTGAGTAAGTTGTGTAACCTCACTGCGTCATTTTTCCTGTCTATTAAATGATTCAGCCTCATCAGAAATGGGAAGATAACAGGGGAGGGTTTCGTATCATGTAAGAGTGCAATCTGCTCTCAATACTAGAGACAATCTCTGCATTTTCAGAGAGGAGGAAAGTTGGAGTAGAAGGAAAGAAAACCTAGAAACAAGCTGTTCCTACTCTGGGGTTGGGTATCTGGGAGTAGACAGAGGGCAGGGGACAAAATCCTCAGATAACTTTGCTTTCTGAGAACAAGGAAGACCCATCTAGGGAGATAGGAAGCCTATTGAGAAGATGGCACTGCATGGTCCTTCTAGGCAGATGGGCTCCTGAACTTACCCACCCCAAGCATCACACAGACACCGTGATTCTCCAGTGAAGGGGTGAAGGAGAGGAGCACAAAGAGGCCCTGGGATGCCTGATAGGTAAGAACAAGGCATACCTCAGTGGTGATCTGTATAGATTGGTGACTGTGGCAGGACTGACACATCCCTGCAGATGGATGCCAACCAATGGCAGATGCCCCATCCCCTCCAGCCAGCTCCATCATCTTGGTACTCCTGAAGGCCCCAGAAATGAGAGACAACCTTGGGGCTTTGAGGGGAGGAAGTTGAAATGACTGAGATTACATTTCTGCCTCCTGCAGAATGGGGCCTTGAAATAAAAAAATAATTTACTTAAAAATAGTTGCATTTTCTTGCATACCTGAATTTGTACATTGAACTCCAAACCTGCCACCTGATAATTTTGATTAATTTCCTTTGTCTTCCACCTCATTGACCGTGTGCTTTTTGCTCCTCTCATCCCTCGCTCTTGACTGATTCTCTGCCTCCATCTATCTTCTCTCCATTTCTTCCTTTCATTCCTCTTTCTTTCTCCAGTATCTTCCTCCAGCCTTTTCCTTTGCACCCTGCACTGCCTTCCAGCCCACGGCATCCAGAGTAAGAGAAAGTAACCCTGAAATGAAGGCACAGGCTGGTCTCTGCCTTCATTGTGAGCCCCTCAGGCTCTGCTGCCTCTGCCATGTTTCCTGATGTTTTATAACTTCTCTCCTTCTCACCTGCACCTCAGGGACTTTCCTGCAGGCTCCTTTTTCCTTTCTATGTTGGTCCTTAGGATTCCTCTGTGATTTCACTAATTAAAACATTTCCAATAAGCAGAACACCTTAAAAAGAAAACAAGACCTCTGTGCCTGTGATGTAATGGCCAAAATTCTTCAGCTGATTTTCACTACTTCTCCAAAATGGAAGATTCCACACCATCATTGCCCTCACTAGTCTCTCATATAAGCCCTTCTCTCCAGATGGAGCTGGATATTTACTAAATTCCTACACCTCTTAGTCTTATCCAATTCACTGCTTTTGCACACACTGTTCCCCTACTTAGTGACTCTCTCGTCCTCTCCACCTGTGTTATTATTATCGTGTGTGAAGGAATAGCCAGAGGTGTTTCTGAACACTTCCTCTCCACCCTAGCCCAAAGAATCACTCCCCCAACTTCCAACCCTTACAGGCTTTATCCTTCTTGGACTCTAACCATGCACTGTCATATAAAGTTATTTATCTTTGTCCCGTATACATTTTCCCTCCTGAATGAAATTATTGGCTCTTCATAGTCAGGGCCATATATTTTTTATTGATAATATTATTATTAACAATGAAAAAGTGTTACATATGTAGCAGGTTCCTCCTTTAAGATGCATTGAATAACATATATATTGAATGAATCAATGGTATCAACTTAATATGTTTATTAATTGAATAATTAGATATGGAAGGAATAAAGCAAGTGTGTAGTGAATAAATGGATGTCTGAAATGAAGCCAACAGACTGCCCAGATGTTCTCACCCATAGGGGAAGTTCCACAGTTCCAAGTCACAGTTGGATGATATTTACAAGGCTTACTACCATCTTTACTGACTTATCTCAAGTTTTCACTAATATCAGAAATAAATGTTTTTGTCATGCAGCCTAATTTACAATTCATGGCATATATGAGCATTTTATTCATAATACGACTACTTATAATAATTGTTTTGTTTTAATACAATTTAACTCAGAGTTACTATATAAAAAGCATTAGATTTTTTTTTGATGGCCCAGTAAAGCCAAATGTATTTCAGAAGCAAATCTAGGCCAGAGGGCATTATTTTACGGATGAGGACATGGGGCTACAGAGAGGTTAAATAATATGTCCCCAAGACACACAGCTAATTGGTAAAAGGCTAATTGGTCTGGAAGACAATACCTGAGTCCCCATACCATATTCTTGTCTACGTCCTGCTTCCTCTATTAATGAAATAACGAAAGGATAATTTTCAATATGGATATTCTCCCCTTCCCCAAATTTTTAAATGCTATAAATGTTTACAGCATAATCTATGTGATGCTGTGAGCAGGAGAAGCGTAACTTCCAGCACCCGAAGCAAGTCCATCTGGCAGTTCCTGTCAGCTCAGGTAGGATTGAAATTGGTGTAAACACATGGTCCAGGACCAGGAAAACATGGGACACTCAAGCTGAGCTAAAGTCAGTGCTGGGGTTCCAACAATGAAAGTGCAGGAGTGACCACGTTAAAAGGAACCACCACACCCCACCCCACATTGGCTTCCTCAGGAAGCATCTACCATCCTCAAGTAGCCAGCCCTCCTTAGTTAAAGGCTTTTGCTCACTCCATCCCAGTCACCTTGACTCATCTGACTTTAAACTTGTCTCAGCTCTCTGTTGAGAGGAGGCCTAGCGTCTTGGTCCTCCAACGTCATATGTATATCTAAAAACAGTAGCCTGCTGTTGACAAGGACTTAATCCACTAGCACAGGTAGGTGATACAGAAAAAAAAAAACGTGGCTAATGAACCAAAAGATTAGATTCCAGGGATAATCCTGCTGTTAGCTAGCTGTATGGATTTAAGATTATTTATTCAGTCTACACATTTGTATCAAAAGGGGATTGGACTAGAAAAATGCTTTTCAAATAGTGTTCCCAGGAATAGTGGGATCTTCCAAAGGGGCCTCTCTGGCTTTATCAGCTGACTTTTCAGGTTAGGCATCCACGCCTCCCAACCCGACTTCAACCAGAGCTGTTCGATTTTAATCTGCTTTATACATCAATATCCTGCATAATGCTTAATTGGAAAAAATAAATAAATTCTCCCTAAAAACAATGCCAATAAAAACAAACAAAATAACATTTGAAATCCGCTGAAGTAACTAATCTCTAAGGTATCTACCAGCTCCTTCAATCCATGAGACTTGGGAGCAGGCTGGGCCTCATGATTCTTTTCATATCACACCAGGTAGGTCTGACCCTGCCTCGGATCAGTCTGTATTGCTGAATGTACCCACCACAGAGATTCTGAGAGCATCTCTTCTTCCCCTTGAGGGACCTGTAGGCCATAAGCAGCCCAGGATTCTAGATTCAGTCAGAAGAGCATGGATAAAATAAATTCCTTGCAATTTTCCCTAGGCCTTAGATCCACTGTGAAAAAGCTCTGGGATCTCACGAGGGGCTGATTAAACAAGTTTAATTCAATTCAACTCATTAAACATCAATTATATACTATCCATTAGCTTGGTACTGTTATGTTTTGGGGCTATTTTGTTGTTGTTTATTTTTGCTATTTTTTTTTTTGTTTTTCCATACTTAAGCCAGAAACTGCAACTCCCACATCTGCATAGAGTAAGAAAACTTAGGGACTGATGTCCTTTTCTCCTTTACATATTTCCAACCAATTATTCCAATCTCTGCTTGATAACAACTGAGCATCTATTACCGAACTGGGTGCAGGGATAAATGGAAGAAAAGTTGAAAAGATATGGTCCCTGTCTTCAAGGATTTAGAGTGTGTCTGAGAGAAAAAACGTCCACACACAACACCAGCAGGTAACAGAGGAAGAGCGCTAAATTAGCTACAACATCTGCCAAAGGTAAACACTAAATTTGCTTGACAGTATAGAAAGGTGAGATCGGGCAAGCTGGAGTTGTCAGGGGTCTGACCTGTTTGTTGAAGGGCTAAAAGAAATTGGACACAAAGAGAGAATGATCCCTCTGGGAAAGGGGAGAAAGTGGAAGACAAGCCCCAAGCAGCACTAAGGAGACCAGCTGCTTTGGAGCGGAAGTTGGTGATGTCAGGGAGACCAGACACCCAGTCTCTGCCACCACCTCAGTGAAGTTTGCTGGTGAAATGACTTACCTGTTCTGGGCCCCAACCCATCATCTTCCAATGGAAATCAGCTCCTGGGGTCCTATTTATCACAAAGATGCCTCTCCATTTAGATGTGTTTAATGCTTGCCACGTGCTCAGCACTCACTACCTGAGAGAGAGGCACACATTATTATTACCATAATCATCATTTACCACCTGCCTGCCTCACTTGAACCCATTACTCACGCCGTCCTTTCCCAGGAGGAGCCTTTTGCCATTTCCCAGGGCTGATATACCTGCTCTTTGGGAGATGAATTTACTAAATGTTAAATTTTAAAGTGACCACTTCCAAATGCTTGGGGGAACTTGAAAGGGAAAATGGTATTAGATTTGGATTCCTCAATAAATATGCTTGCTTTCAGAAGTCCAGGGTGGATGAAGGTGGGTCAGAGCCCTCTCAAAGACAGTAAGAGAAAACAGCCTACCGAGTGACTTAGGGAGCAGAAGACCCAAAATACTGTCCACAGCCCAGGTCTTCCCACATGTCAACGATCTTACACATTTTCCTATTTCTCTTTTTCTTAAGCCAGGAATGATAATCTGGGAATAAATCCACATTTTCTAAGGGAGAAACACTGCCAAGCTTGTTAATCTCATGCAGATAGGATGTTACTTTTACTATATAGTAATATGGCTTCTTAAAAAACAAGTTGGAAGGAGGGGGGGAAAAAGCCCACCAAAAAAACAACAAATATTCGCCAACCCATATGGTCAGTAATTGCTGTTTAATAGTCCTCCTATTACAAACCTAAGAGGCAGCAGTCTGAATTACCAGTAGAGTATTAATAAACAGGAATGAGTTAATAGTGCATAAAGACCTTCTCGTGGAGCAGTGGGGGAGTTGAATATTCTTTTCTTCAGTCAGCTGTAAGTAATTACTGCATGGTGTGCTTCTGACTATTACCATAACAGAGCAATTGGACGTGAAGAATGGATAATACTACGGACATGGAGGTATTTTTAGAATAGCAGCAGTGAAGCAGGTAACTGGCCTACTCCAGTAGAAACCTTTAAATAAGTTTAGAAGACTTTTTTTTTCCCCTCCTTATGACATTTAGCCAGGGTAGAATTTTAAAAAGATCAATCTAATAAATTATTTAAAATAACTTTACAAAGAGGATGCCTGTGATATGTAAATAAGAAGGCAAGAAGGGAGGAAGGAAAAGCCTAAAAAGCCCAGGCGGACACGAGGCATCTAGCTGACGGTACTGTAACTACATAATCACAGGTTCCTTCCTGCTCCTCTGAGAGTACAGCCTGGATGCGAATCTGCTTGACTGGCTCCCACTGGCTGCTCAGGTGAAAGTGAAAATATTCAAATCAGAGCTGTAACTATGATTGCTGGAGTTGTGGGTTTTCTAAAATTGAGTTAGTCGTCCTCGGTGATTTAATGATGCATATCATTTATTTTAAAATATTATTACAGGGGCATTGACTGAGCTGTGGCTTCTTCTTCGAGGGACTGTCCATTATGCAATGCGCCAGGGTATGTCATGGGCCGTGGCGGGCTGCGATATTGTCTAACGGCACAACATATGTTCTCAGATGAAAACAGCTTGAGACTTTAATTCAGAAAGTGGTAATTTTGCAAATGCACACAAATATCATTTAAGGAATATTTTGAATTTTTTTTTCAGAGTGTAGGTCCTTCTCCTGCCTCCTGGCTGCGTGGGCCGATGCTGATTTTTCAATTTGCAGGTTTGTTAAGCATCATGGAATGTTTTGGTTCTCAATCAAGAATATTCTTCCCAAGTGGTTCCAAAGTCCTACGCTTGAAAATAAATGCATGTCCCCTTTGTCTCCTAGCAGCATGTGTTCCAACATACAATAGCAGCACAGGACAGAGCCAGGCAATGCCTTTGATTGAACCATCCTATAGGTTTTTAACTTGCCACTCACATGGGCTGGAAGCTTGCTTCAGGCCCGGCGGCATGCTCTCTTCTTAGGGCATTACTGGCAGCTGGAGTCCAATGGGGGTGGTGAGGAGCCAGGGCTCCAGTCCTCCTCCTGGTGGGATTCCTGTCCTACCTTGTGGCACAGGAGCTGAACAGAGGATGAGCTGCCTCCATGCCGATGACTTCAGGGTCCACCTGAAGAGAAGAGGCACAGTCTACAGGACAGGTGGTAATGCGCAACTGATCCCTGCCCACTGCTTTGAAGTCCGCTGACAAACAATGTGTGTGAAATAAACACTGTCACATTTATTTCTCCTGAAAAACCTCATCATTGTGTCTGAGCTCCGCCAGCCAGCATATTCTGATTCATCCAGGCACAGCCCCTTTCTTGCTAAAAGATGCTGCAGTACAAATTTACAGCTGTGTGTTTCACCTGTTTAGCTGGTCATTCTCAATAGCAGTCAAGGGCACACCTGTAGAGGTGTTACTATAACCCAGAGAGAGCAGCGGCTTCTCTGTATCCCTGGTTTTGATTTCCTTTTTTTCATGCATTTGAAAAGAGAATCGCTGTCCTTTCCTTAAGTCTACAGAAAGATGAGGACAAAGGAAAATCTGGCTAATTAAATGCCAATTTTTAACAACATTTTTCACATAGGACAAAAATCAATGGTCATTTCCAGAAAGTGCTCAATACTTCATAATTTAGGGCAGTTCAGCATCCAGCAACTTTGTGTTTCTGATTGAGAGAAATTTTGAGATACTTATAGCCAACTTTGCACGTGACCGCACTGTTTGTCCCCCATTTAAACTTACTCTACACCCCAATTAATCATGAGCTTCCCGAGGGCATGAGCTGTACCTCTGGGGTTTACCCCCAAGGTTGCCTCCCTGTCCACAGGACCAGCACAAAGACTTTCCCAGGAAAAGATATCACCAACAATCGGAGCTGTTGCTATTTTAGATCTAGACAACCCTCTGGGGAACAAAAGAATAAGAGATTTTTCCCAAGAGTGAGACTAAGGGGGGAAAGGAGGCTCCAAAGCCTTTATATTTCCATTTAGCTCTAAGTAGCCCAGGGGAAAGAAAAGTCTGGAATTGTTAGGAAGCCAAGTAGTTTCAGAGGCCACCATTTTACCTCTAAAGTATTTCAGCTAGTACCTCTCTAGGTAAGAATTCTTAGTTTTTTCAGGCATTTCCATTGAAACAACTTAGCAGGCCAACACTCCAATAAGAACCAGTGAAAAGACAAATTATTTAGAATTGATTATTCAATTCAATTGGTATAAAACTTTCCAGAGGGGTTGAATTCAGCTACCTTACTCATGGGTTATCATGACAACCAGTAGAACTCACAAGAAATCCCTTTTTTTCAGTATTAGGTAAATAATCCTCTGAAATGTCCAGTTATATTGTATTGCATATCGCAGTGATAATAATAGAGGTCTAAATAATCTGGCATCTACCTACTTCATTGATTTCATCTCCTACCATCCTCCCCATGGTCTTATTTCAGTTCCTCCATCACCCTCCTGGCCTCTGGGTCTTTGTGACATCTATTCCTTCTGCCTGGAAGGCATTCAACCTCAGTTTAAATGTTATCTCCAAGAAACTATTCTTAATAGTTTTCCGGGCATTCTCTAAACACTACTCTGCTTTATTTCCTTCATAGCATTTATACTAGTTGATATTTTCTTGTTTGCATGTGTGCTAGATTGAACTGTTCTCAGTTCTTGATTCCCTCCCAGCTATAATATACATGCCACAGGACATGTAGCTATGGGTAGAAAACAACTCCCACCCCATTGATGTTAGGCTTAGCCATGTTACTTGCATTGGTTAATTAAATGTTGGCAGACTAGGTAAGAACAGAGACTTTAAATATGCTGTGTGTCTTGCTTGCATCCTGGTGTTCCTGCCATTCCCTCTAAGAAAAATATGCTGTAAGTAGTCACTTTTTGAAGAAAAATAAAGATTCTTAGAACAAAACTGAACCTGACCAGAGGCCTAGAACCAAGTTCCCCCACAACCTGAAGTAGTGCTGTTTCAGCCAACACATGGGACCATGAACAAGAAAATAAACACTTGTTTGAGCCTCTGAGATTTGGGTTTGGATGTGAGGCTTGTCACTCTTCATTAACGTGGCAATTGCTAAATAATATAGAAATTATACCAGAATTGGGCTTCTGCTGTCAAAAAAATTCAAAATTTGTGTCATTTGGTTTGGATCATGTGGTAAATAGAGAAAAAAACTATAAAAAACCATAATAAGAAGCTGAAACAATAACTCATATTACATAGTGACAAAACACTCAATAAAACTATTGAGTGCAATAACCCAGAAGGCAAAAAGTGTACTAAGTATACTTATAGCATTGGGCTGGGAAGTTTTTGAGGCAGAGTGTTCATAGTATGAGTTGGCTGCTTGTATCTGTATTTGATAAGTTACTACAAGAAAGAAAGAAGCTTGGGGAAAAAAACTGGTTTGCAAGCAGAATTGAGGGAAATTGAGAGAACCTAGAAATTCTGAGAATTGTAAGTTTGAAAAATTAAATCATTTCTCTCTATCTAAAGGTGTAGCCATTGGAACATTGTCGTAAAGCCAAGACAAAATCAAGAAAGTGATTGTCACACTCTTTGTTAAGACCCCTAAAAAGATTAAGGACACTGAGGATGCAGCTCATAAATGACTAATACAGGCAAAGTACCTACGCTTATGCCTAGAAAGAAGTATATCTCTAAAAGAATGGTGGGTGAGGCATTTGGCACGTGGAGTTGACTGGAATCATACATAGAAAACCCATAAAGTTTTGGAGAGAGTTGTAGTAGAAAAATTGCCATCAGCTTGGATTTAAAAATACTATGTCTGTTTGAGATATATAAAGATCTCTGGGCCCCCCAAAATTTTACAGGCAGGAAGCAGGATGAGAAATCTGCTAGTTACAAAGAAGGGCATGTTCTCCAGTACTCATCAGAAAAGCCAAGGGTGAAAAAGGAAGAAGTTCCAAGAGGCGAGCAAAGACCATGTGCAACCGGATATTGGTGATCAACTCCCAGGTGCAGAACCATGGCGTGTGCAACCTCTTGCGACAGGAACCTGGAAAAATTTGCCCAGGAGAATTTCAAAATTGCTATCTATCAGAGACTTCTGTTTCTCCCAGTTTTCTCCTTGTTGAATGCAACCGTTTGTTTACCCTTTCCGTATTCTAACATAGTATATTAGACATATGAGGGCAGATAACATATCATTTCAGTTCATAGACATCCAGTTCGAGAGAAGTTCTATCTAGACCTGACATGGATCGTGGGATCATGCACTTTGAACCTGTTGCCATAATTGGGTGAGCCTCTGTGGGTTTCTTGGGATGGTAATGAGTATATCCCATATGCAGAAGGATCCTGAAAAATTGTTACCATGAGAGCAGACTGTGTAGATAGATTGAATTATTTTCAACTCTTCATTCCTTTCCTATTATAAAAGTATACATTCACAGTTTTTTCCATATAACTTTCAGTTCTTCCTACTATGAATGAAAAATACTCCTTTGATCCATTCATATTGGGCTTGGCATGTGAATTGTCTTGGTTAATGAAGTGGCAGTAAATGAGACAGAAGCAGAGTTTTAGACTTGCTGGCATGATCTGGCTTCTTCTCTTGTGCTCCTGCCATTCCTCATGAGAAGAACACGACCTAGATAGCTACTGGTCCAGGGAGAAACTGAATCCCTGGACCAGTAGAGCAGATCTGATCCCAGTCGACACTTTTGAGCCAAGATAAGCTGAACCCTGCTAAGATCGGTCACCTTCCAGCTGACCCACAGAACTGCTAATGAGACAAATGAACGTTTGGTGTTTCAATTCAGAGATTGTAGAATTGTTTGTTTTACAGCATTATTGTAGTATAAATGCGGACTGATACAGTTTACAAGTTTGTTTATTGTCTGCCCCCATGAGAAGGTAAGCTCTGTGAAAATAAGAATGTTTTCTATCCTGTTCATGTATATATTTCAGTGAACAGAAACATTGTAAGCAGATAGTCATTGCACAATAAATATTTTTAAATGAATAAATGAAAAATATAATATATAGTAAGAAACTACAAATTTAACTATCTATTAGAACCTTCTTTGGGCATATCTTTTACTAAAAACTTAAGATTAAATTCACAGTGGCCAAAGAATGGCATACCTATAGGAAAAGAAACCATTTGGAGTTCTTCATAACAAACTATTAAAGATCTCCTCCAATGGTGTTAGGGATGTCTGATATAGAGACAGCTGTAGTGACCAGCATAGTTAATTCGGTTGAGAAAGGAGGATTATTATGAGAATGTTCCAGTTGTCTTTATATCTGCAGTTCCAGCACAATATGGGCTCTCAATACATGTACGTTCAAATGAATTGACTTTTAGAGCTCATAGAAGCTTTTATACCCTACTTGACCTTTAGTCATAGAAGATATTAAAATGACATCAGCAAATAATGCAGGCCTGTGCTTAATTCTTCGCTCTGCTGAAAACTCTCTAACTTGAGAGAAGCTTCGTCGTGCATTTGAGGTCAACCTTAGAGAACACGGTACTTTCTTCTCTTTCCACTGATGAAAAGGCAGGAACTGTACAGATATGCTTAACAGAACTTGTTTTTTAGCCTTTTATATTCTCCAAATCAACACATTTCACTGTCTTGCTTAGCAATCCTTTCCTTTAACCCAAATATTCACCCCTTAATTTAAGGCAGTAATTCCACTGAACACTTTAGTTTCCATCCACTGTCACCCAGCCCCTACCATGTACCACAAACTCTGCTAAATCTTGGGGATATAACATTTAAGTAATACACAGTTCTTGCCACCAAGGTGTCTATTGGAGAGCAAAGAAAATCTGACTATGCTGCTTTAAAGTGCTACAGTTGAACAATACATCATGAGAACACAAAAGTGGGGCATCTAAATGATACTGAGGGACCAACAAAGAATGGAATTTGAAATAGAAGTAGGAGATAACGAAGGGGGTAACAATGTGAGAGAAATTTCCCCAAACGTGTTTCTGTTTATGCTTAAAGGAAGGGTGGCCCCATTATAAGAAAATAAACACCAGTGTATCCTGGAAAGAAAGTGACATGAATGACCAGATGCACACTCTAGTACTAATGGAAAAGGCAAAACGAGGAGTGTGCGGAGTCCTCAAAGACTCTTTCTTGGAGTGTGGTATACATACCTCACCACAATCTCAAGGGAAGTGATGAAATGGTAAGGAAGCACAAAACAGCAATTTTTCTAGGAAAGAGAACAACAGAATCTACTGATTGGAGCAGTTTGTCCTCTTATTGAAAGTGCCTTTTTCTTTTTTTTTGAAAGGCACTTGAAGTCAGTAAAGAGAAATTAAAAAACCAGAGAAGAAAGGCTAAAGTGTCAGAAGACCAAATCATATAATAAAGGAGAAACAGGGTGGAATCTGATCTGCCACAGTGAGGGTATGAGGGGACAGACGACCGTCAGCGTCTGAAGCATCTTGTAGAGACTCAAAACAAACTCTGAGGGTTGATTGATTAGACAAGATAAGGCGCCCTAAGGCGAAGGTTCAAGAGTGTATATAGTCGGTTTAAAAGTTTTCTGACTTAGTGGAGGGCATTTTTGAAGATAGCTGGAAAACGTTAATTAAATTTGTGAAGTAAATGCATATCCCCAAAGTGTTTGTTTTGTGTCTGCTCATTTTTTAATCTCTCATATTTGTTGGAACTAAATTGTGCCAATGACACGTAAAAGTCTTTAATGATATTTATCTTCCCTTATCTCTTTCACTCCACTCCAGCTGCTGCTCCCACCATCCTGGAGGGCTACACAGAGTCGCTGCTCTAATAGCAAACCTTATTCTAATATTTTCTGAAAATAACTTGTTTCTCCTGGATGTCTATGTCTTTTTTTTTTTTTTTTTTGAGGAAGATTAGCCCTGAGCTAACTACTGCCCATCCTCCTCTTTTTGCTGAGGAAGACTGGCCCTGAGCTAACATCCGGCCCCACCTTCCTCTACTTTATATGTTGGATGCCTACCACAGCATGGCGTGCCAAGCCGTGCCATGTCCACACCCGGGATCCGAACTGGTGAACCCTGGACCGCTGAAGCAGAAGGTACGAACTTAACCGCTGGGCCATGAGGCTGGCTCCTATATATGTCTATTTTGAAGAAGATAGCTTTAGTAGGAGAGCATGTAATCTCCAAGACAATTTTCTTTCAGGGAACACATTGACAGGAACCCTGTCACATTTCTTTATTAACTGAGATACAAATCACAGAAGACCATAGACGATTCCCTCCTGACCACAAATTCTAACACACAAACTACAAATAACTTTATGATTCTTCTGACAGAAACCAAAGGCAAATCGAAGAATGGTACAAATAGGCAGATGCCATGATTACATCCCCTTCTCTCTTTTTAATTTTTTAAATAATCGTCAACATATTTCATAATTGTCATTTTCCATTGTCTTACTTTATATAATTTTATCATCAGTGCAAAGAAACAAAGTGTAACTGAAAATAAATAGAGAGGAAAAAATACTTTAAAAAGAATTTACCTAGTTGAGAATAGCTTATATTTTTACATGCATGGCTGGACTTGATCTTCATAACAAATTGGGGGGGGGGCAGGTAGACCATGAGAGCAGGTAAGAGGATGGTTTTGGGGTCATAAATGCCTGGGTAGAATCCCACTCATTAGCTGTAGGATGTAGGGCAGGCTAGTTAACATCTCTGAGGCTCAGCTTCCATCCTTTGTAAAACAGATGTGATGAACCTACCTCATAGGTATTTTGTAGGGATTAAATGAGGGAAAATAAAGGCCTTGGTACACAGGACTAAATAAATAAGTCTATAAATACCAGCTAGAATTAGTATTGCAAAGCTGTTACTATTTTTTTCCCACTTGACACACGAGGCTACTGAGCTAGAGAGAGAGGGAAGTTAACAGACATACTTGTCCAGAACATGCCTAAATACACTGCTGACCACACTGAGCGAAAACTTTATTTTTAACATTCAGAGGCAACCTGTCCATGGTTAGCACTTCTAACAGGAAAAAATTAAAATCCATTAGAAAAATATATATTGATTTCATTTGAACTAAATTATTAAATATCTTTTTAATAACTGTATCAATCTAGTTACAATCTTTCAAAAATGCAGTGAGGCACAGTCTGAGGGTTGGCAGGGCCCTGAGAGATCAAACCCAATGTACAGGGTGGCCCGTCACAGGCTCTCCCCCTCTTGCTAGCCAACTCTTGCCTTAATGACATAATTAAATGACTATAAAGTTCCATAATTCTTTCTCCTTTAATTAACTGGAGGAAAACCTCTTCTCTCTCAACATTGAAGATTCTGCTGTTTTACTTTGCATAAGGTTCAAAGGGCTAATGTTCAAACTCCATAACAATTGCAAAAACTACAAATATTTTTTAAAATAAATGAATAATAACTTGCATATAAATTCAAACTTTCAATCAACCATAAAAATCATCAGCCAAAATTAGTCCTGTATAGCTTGTGGTTGGTTTTCACCAAAAGTTGTTCTAGATAACAAATATAAACGTAGCAGAAGCCCAAATCACTGAATCGAATGATTCCCTTGAAAAGTCTTCTGGCCTCAAGAAGTGCAGCACTAAAACCCTTCCACAGAGGCTCAAGTTCTTTATGAAGAAAAAGTGTGAACTTGGGACAAGACACAGAATACACATGGTAAATTTTACAAAAGTTTATTGAAACCCCCTCTATTGTTCCTTTGACTTCGCATTAATACAACAGTTCTAATTCAGGCAGAAGTTGAAATTATCTCAATTAGTTGTATAATGGGGGATGGCCACATAAAAGGAACCCAGTGGTGCCACTTTGATGGGAAGAGGAAGGTGGAGAATTTATATTCTATCAGCTAGTCTTTCTTCCCATGTGGCATAGGCAAGATCTGGACATTTCTTTATGATCCCCAAGGACAGGACTCAGAGGGGATCAATTGAGCATAGTGGGCTCAGCATGGGGCCGCCTGTGCTAAAGGGCAAGGTGCCCCCTCAGCAGACACTCTGGGAGGGTTTTCCAGGACAGAGCTAGTTACATTATACAGAAGAGACTCAAAAAGCATCGGCAAAAACTGAGATGAGTCAGAGGCAACTGGGGTGATCTAAGAGTAGCAACCAAATAATAGGGGGGCAGGTCTCAAGTCAAACCTGCTGTTGACACTGGGCGGGAGTGGGGAGAAGAGAGCCAGGCAGAGGAGAGATCCTGCTACAGAGAGCTGTAGGCTGGAGACAGGACAAGGGCCCAAACACCCCTTTCCTCTGCTTCCATGGAGACAGGGCAAGCCCCTCAGCAGGGGTGTGCCTTAGGGCTGGGAAAGTTGTGCACAAACCTGTGCTCCAAGGTGTCACCCTCACTCAGCAAGCTATGTGCCCTAGTGCAGGCCAGTCAGTCTGGACAAAGGGAACATTCTTGACCTTGGTCATCTCAGAAGAGTGGCATTTTTTGTCATTTTAGAATTCATTCTAAGTTTAAGTCTGTGTTAGCTATAGCCCTATCTCTCAGACACCTGGACATCATCTTGAGGAAGAGAGAAGTGGGGGCCGGAGGACAAACTGAAAGACAGCATTTTTCAAAAGAGACTTAAGTCTTTCAAAGAAGACTCTACAAACCATCACAACGTTGAATACAGTGAATGTTAAAGTGAAAGGAGACTTACAAACCAGAAGAGACTGAAATGTTGCTAATGGATAATAAGTTGTTTTTACCATTCAGTGAAATGGAATTACATGGGCCAGGTTAGTGTTTTTAGAAATTAAAGGGCAGCATTTAATTTCTGTATATCTGAGCATAGCACAAAGAAATTTCCAACTCCATTGTGTGTGTGTGGTGTGCATGTGTGTGTGTGTGTGTGTAACATAAAACTAGAAGATTGTACCCTAAACATAATTATGGTTTTTTCCTACATAATGAGATGATGGATATTTATATTTTTGACTTTTCACTTTTCCACATCCTTCAATAGTTCTGCAATGAGCATGCATTCGTTGTTTAAAATCAAAGATGGATCAATGCTATTTTTAAATAATTGTTTATATCTTCTAGTTGTTTTTGTCTAAACCCCAACTG